GCTTTGGGAATAATTCTGTACCTGCGAGAAGTGGGAAAGGACGGGTTTAGGGTTAGAAGCAATCTCATCTTATGACGTATAATTATTCACTATCTATCTGGCACCATGTTCTTTAAATAATTTCCAGTCCATTTTTTCATGCTGCAGAGCTGTCTTTTGGAGCAAATTAGCACTGTGAGACTTCCTTCACACCTGAAGAAGCCCAGGCAGGGAGTCTTTGAAATTGGCCCCCGTGACTCATACAGAGCGTGGGACTAAATGCGTGGGACTAGATCGTCCAGACATGCTGGGGAAGATCACTTTGAATATTTCTATGTCCCTGGGCTGGAACTGTCATCAGTGACACATTCAGATTCACACAAGCCCTTAAACGATGCCTGCTTAGCAAAATTTCTGTGGTCCTTGATCCTAAAAACAGCTGTGTTGGCTGCCTTTTCTTCCTTCAGTGTGATGTCCCAAAGGGAGAACGAGTAACAGTTCTTCCCACCTTTGAAGATGTAGTCCCATTTGATCTTACCATTTTACAAATACTTATTTATACAGATCCCTCCCACGGAATTCTAAACCAGACTTTGTCCTATTTGCAAAACGGTCCAGAATCAGAATCATGATCTCCTAACCACTTGCTCTTGCCCTCCAGCCGGAGAACGAGGACCCTCTCCCTCTCTCTCTGTCAGGCTGCTCCTGATGAACGGGCAGAAGGCCAAGCCCAGTTGAGCGGTTACTGGTGAGGGCATGATCCTGGCTTGAGTGACTCTCTTCTCTTGCTTCACCTAGGTAACCGCTTGCCTGACCGCTGTGGCTAAAACAGATCGGGATGTCCAAGTGCGCAGAGCTGCCATCCATGTGATTGTGCTGCTGTTTCGGGGACTCAGCCAGAAAGCTACAGAGGTGAGTCAGTCTCTCGCCATTTGCCACTTCTCCCTTTCTCCTCTGCTAGACTTCCTTTTATTTGCATAGGCCTCAAACCCACCCCTTGATGGACTCAAGCCGGGAATCAGTCAGCAGGGGGGTTTTGTAGCAGGAAAATTGTCTTGTTCGCATTGCCAGTAAGAGTCTCAGTTGCCTCTGCAGCATATTAGGTAAACTGCATGCTCACAGCTGCACCAGACCAGCTGACAGAGGGAGGCTTGGATCCAGGCATTCTCCGTGTAGGGCAGGTTCTGAGCTGAGCAAACTGACAACCACTAACCCAGGCTCTGTGGAGGCTAAGCTTTAGTCACTTCTTGATTTCCTGACTCCTTTCGTTGTTCGTGCAGAATTATTAAAAGACCTCAATTTTAAGTCTTTCCTTTCTAGCTGTGAGTTCAGTCTATGGGATTTTGGTTTCTGCCGAAATTAAATTTCCTCTCTCCTCCAATGGGGAGAGGTTGGCTTACTCCCCAGGAAGAACATATTATATGCTCTAAGAATGAGTGACCCCAAAAATTAAGTGTCATCTTGATTTTAATGAAAACCTGTTCCCAGTTGACTTTCTGAAGCTGATTTACATTCATAATTTACTTAATGGCATTCACAATGATAGGCTGTGGCTGGCATGTCAGTATTTAACCGTGTGTCAGGGAAGCCATTCTGGGAGGGATGACTTTGTCAGACAAGCGGGCTTTATTCATGCTAGAATTTTGCCCCATCCAGGTCTTGTGACAACATTCTTGTACCAGCTTAGACTCATTCTTTATCCCCTTCCTCCCCTGCCCCTCCACATTTGCTCCCAACTACCCACTTAGCATTGTTGCTGGCCAGCAGCTCGACCAGTGGTTCTCAACCTTCCTAATTCGCGACCCTTTCATACAGTTCCTCATGTTGTGGTGACGCCCAACCATAACATTATTTTCATTGCTACTTCATCCCTGTCATTTTGCTACTGTTATGAATCGGGCAACCCCTGTGAAAGGGTGGTTAGACCCCCAAAGGGTTCGCAACTTACAGTTTGAGAACCGCTGAGCTAGACCATTGAGGTTCCGAATGGTCTTTGTCTTCACCCTGGGCTTTTTCCTCACCGGCACTTCCCACCTTTCTCTTGTGCCTGGCTTAGGTTTCGGATTGAATGTGTTAATCTGGTAGGAAAGTGTTGAGCTGTTAGCTACAAAAACTCGAGTTACAGCAGCAACAACACAGAAGGGCTTGTTTTCTGACGTCACAAAAATCTGTAGGTAGGCGGTGGCTGGTGTTGATTTGGCAACTCAGGGTCACCTAGAAGAATATTTCTATAATAGTCAGGGCCTTTGTCTCACAGCTGCAAGACAGTGGCCGGAGCTCTGGCCACGATGACTGCTTTAAACTGGCGAGCAAGGCAATGGCAGAAGGGTAGCCTTTCTCTTGCCTCTTTCAGGGAAAGAAAATTGTTTCTGTTGCATGATGTTAAGTCGTGGCGGCCCCTGTGCACCCCAGAATGAAACACTCTTTGCTATCCTCACAGTTGTTGTTGTTTGAGTTCTTTGTTGTGCGTCTGCTGGCTTCCGTTGCATTCCTTTGGCTAAAACAGGTTTTCCCTAACTTTTCCTAGCTGCAAGGTAAGCTGGGAATGTGTTTCAAGAAAGCATTTCTATTCTGAACAAAACGGAATATAGGTTTTGTGCGAGAAGTGCACTTGAGGTCAGCAACGAACAGTGTGTGGAGGAGAGAAGGGAAGGCTGAGCAACAAAGCCCCTGTAACAGTCCAGTGGCTTAATGATGGGAACACCCCCCTGGGAGGTTAGAGGGACCTTGATGGGGGTGGGGAGCATCTTGATCAGAGCTCGATAATCCGTATCATGAAATAAATCTCTCTGGGGCACACACAGTTCTGGTGAGACTGTGATGTACAAGAGAGAGTAAGGAGTCGGGGGTTTTCATCCTTTGTCAAAAATCTACAGAGCTCTTGAGAACTACACCTGGCTATAGAAAGCTTTAACAATAAGGGAAACCAGGTGAGAGCATGTGGGCACTCCCTGTGTGCGAAGCCCTGGGGGTGGGGGGTGGTGGCAGACTTAGGGACAATGCCTGCTTGCCCTTTAGTGTTACATAAATTTGCCCTCACTTTGAAGCAATTGAACCAACCCCTTCTGGCCACTAGTTCCTCATCAGAATCACCCCACTTGCTGCATGTACGTGTAGCTTTTAAATCATTGGAAAGGCTTTTGAGGGCTTTGTTGCAGGAACACCAAAAAGAGAACCAAAAAAACCCTCCCTCCCATTGGGTTGCTTCCAACTCACAGCGGCCCTATGGGACAGATTAGAACTGCCCCGTGGGGTTTCCAAGGCTGTAAACCTTCGTGGGAACAGAACATTTCATTTCTCCTGCAGAAGCAGTTGGTGTATTCAAGCTGACTTTGTAGCTCAAGCAGCCCAGTGTGGAACCTAGTGCACCACAAGGGCCCTGGCTTGCACTGAAGTGAGACTACATCAGAGCCTTAGGCACCTGCCTGGATCACCGACTAATTCCACTTAGAGACACAACTAGGAACGCTCATGTTCATAACCTAGGGGACTCTCTCTATTGTATTTGCAATTTTCTATCATCTAAAATCAATTCAAAATAAGACATCTATTTAAAAACATGAAAACTAAAACCTTGGCGCACATGCATTGAGAAAGAGAGAGAGAGCAAGTGTGTGTGTGTGTGTGTGTGTGTGTGTGTGTGTATCAAAATGTCTAGTTAGCAAAGTGAGAGAAGAAATAGAAGAAACACTCATCCGTGTTCCCACTTCCCAGAGTAGCCAATGACAGCGGCGCTGCTAGTCTCACCAGTACTAAAATAATCCGTGGTCATGGAAGGGTTTGTCACTTTCAAAGAGCCATGGGACTGAGAACGTTCTCTGCTGTTCCCCAGTCTGCACTGATGGGAACTTCCCAGCTGGGCTTCCTCAGTGAGCACAAAAGGAGATGGGGGAGGATGGGGATGAGCCCTCTGCCGTGGTGTGCCCTGGAGGCCAGGTGTGTGAAATCATGTCCTCTTCGGTGTGATTATAATCAAGGCCCCTTCAGTGAGTCGTGGAGAGAACCACAAAGCTTTCAATCTGGGCTTGCCTTCCCGCTCAGTTGTGCCCCCAGGAGAGGCTGAAATGAAAATGCTATTTTGTGGATGACTTTTTTTTGGTTCTTGCTTGCTAATCACACTGTCTCTCTAGCCAGAGAGCGCCAAGAGAGAATAATAGGTTTCGGTGATTCTCTGCTGCCTGTAGAAGGGAGTTGAGAGTCCCGTTGGGTGGGGGTGGGGGGGTTTCAGATGATTAGGGTCAGGAAAGAAAGTTGTCACCACCTCCAACTCACGAGGTGGTCTTCCGTCTCTCTTTTGAAGAGCCTTGTGCACTTAGCACAATAGCCACAGTGCCAGGAAACACTGCACTCCTTAGCTGAGCTGTGTGTGGGTCTCATGACTGTATCTCTGTGTTAATTCATTCCCAAGGATAACTAGAAGCTTAGTAGAAGGTAGAGGAGCCCCCTCTAAGTCTTCAAGTCAGTTCTGACTCACGGTGACCCTCGGTCTGTCGGAGCAGAACTGGGGTGCTCCAGGGCTGATTGCTGGGCTTTTGCCCTGAGGTGCTTCTGAGGGACTTGGACCTCCAGCCTTTAGGTGAGCAGCAGGATGTACCTACCACCCAGGACCTTCCATTGCAATGCCCAGGGAGGGAATATCCTCATTTATGTTTAGACCCACGCCTCAGAGTGAAGAACAGCCTCCACTACGTGGAGGATTTGGACCAAGTGACAGACTGAGAGACGTGTGCCTACTTCTCCAGTGTCTCTCCTCCTCCTCCGTGAGAGGAGGCAAACCCTAGCTGAAAGGAAAAGAAAGAAATTGCTAGTCTATGTCCTATCCTGCTTTATTTATGGGAGGTGCACACAGTCTTTCCAGAAGACCTTGTGTGTGTCCTTGTCTCGCTCTCCAGACCAAGTGGACGCTAGGCCCTGAGGAGGAACACAGCACAGCTGTCAAATTTACAGAAATGGAGAGGCCGAATGGAAATGTTACTGCCTTTTATTGGTTCTGTCTTATTCTGATAGTTAGTTTAACATTATTGGGTGTGTATGGGAGTGTGTGTGAATCACTCCCGTTTCCTTCCCAGAGCTAGTTCCGCAGACACCGCTCCTTTCAGCAGACAGAAGGGCCTGTGTGAGGAGCCCATGGAAAGAGCGTTCTGTGAAAAGGACTGGAATTCAGGTCATCAGCATGCCACTGTCAGCTTTGAGAAAGTGCTTGGGTGAGCCTTTCCAGCCTTGAATTCAAAGAGCACACCCTTCCTGGGAGCGTGGATCTTCTTTCTACCCCTCACACTCTGCATTCTCCCCGTGAGTTTCCCACAATGCCGCCTCGGCCTCCCTGAGCTGCCCTGCCCTCCACAGCAGATGTTGCTGCATGTCCCGGATGGTGGCCAGGCAGAAGGCAAATCTCACGTGAAGGCCCAAGGGCCTTTTTTTACAGTGTTCATATTGGTGATAACAGGCATTTAATAAGCATTCAGTGTTTGTTGGACAGTGTTTAATGTCAAGAGATATGGGAAATAGTGGAATTGATCAATAATTGCAAGTGTACAAATTGTCTTCTTGACTCACTCTTAGACATCCTAATTGCCATTTTGAAAACTAAATCCTCTTAAGATTCCAGGGAGCTCATCCTTTTTCACTTGCTCCTCCCCATCTGTTCCTCGCAGTACAGCTTTCGAAGAGCAAGTTCTGTCGGGGGGATGGGGGGTGGGGTGAGGGGTGGGGGGTTCACTCTCTCCCTGTGTGTCTCTCTCGTTTCACCTTTCAGAGGACTCAACACGTCCTGGAACCTCAGGAAACCAAGGGAAGCAGTGTTCCTGACATGCTTACTTGGAAAGAGATGGCTTCTGACACTTAAGTAGGAAGAAAAAATATTTTTAATTTTAAATAAAATACTTAATAGGGAACATAGAGTACTTTTTGGA